TGTTTTTTAACAACTTGAAACTATGTAAAAAAATATTTTCTTAAACATTAATACTTTTTGAAATAATGAGTGTTCTTCGATAAAAAAATCACCCTGTATATATAAGTACGACGACAACTCTTTCGGGAACACGCGAAACGCCGTTTTGTATACATAATATTTAAACAGGTGTACTCACTTTTATAAACGAATACCATTATATACATTCGGTTTTTCCGTGTTTGTTCGTTTATTTTATTCCGTTTTGTCGGTCAATTACGAGGGTTCACGTCGTGCCCAACCTCCCCACACCCCCGAAAGCACGGGATCTTTCGGCCCGGGATTGTGTGTTCGATTAACACACGCTGCACACACGTTAAATCCAAATAATGGAAAACGTTTTTTTTTATGCTGCTGTTGCTGCTGCTGATAGTATAACGTATACAATATTTTAATACATCGTTTTTTACATCGTACTTTTTATCTCTTCTCGTCCGTCCTTTGTACACGTGTTTTGCATTATTCGCGTGTTGTGCATGTACAAACACGGACCATTCCAATAATATATTATCCGTATATCGATGTATGTTATATTATTACTACTTACTAGAGCGACCTTATCGATTCTTCAGCTAGTTTAACATTGAAGTTTTTTTTTTTGTTTTTTATTACACTGCACATACACGTTGCCTAAAATTGTGTATCTACTGTAATGCACAATTTGATTTACCAAGCATGCCAATTCTCCACTATCTTTGAAATTAATTAGTAATGAGTTAATTCAAACTATGGTTTAAGATATTTATAAAATAATATAAATTTTACTATCACGAGGCCCAAATATTTAAATACTAAGATTCTTATAACATTTAAGGATAGTGTCTTGTTTCAAAACAAATATGCTCTTTTTTACTTTGAGTTGTTGAGTAGGTATACTCGATTTTTTTTTTGAAAAATTTGTTGTATCTTAATCGAAATTTGAACAAATAGATTCTAAGTTTTTAAACTTTATAGTTTATGTTATATACCTACTAAGGACTAAAAGTCCCTAAAATAATGGTTTTATATGAAACATAAAATAGATGTAATATTATTTACTACGGTACTTTTTTTCAAATTATAAAATGCTAATAAATATATTTCCTAACTACTATAATTTAAAAACCATCATAGTCGTTATATCTTTTAAATCTATATTATTATAATGGAGTATTATCATTAGTACCTACATAAAGTTTAATAACTCAGAAACTACTTATTTCAGTTTCAATTTATAAAATACGTACATCTTCAAAATTAAAAAAATCGTCTGTTTCGCAATTTATAATAAAAAGGATATTGATACATCTAAGTTAAAAACTAAGTATTTAAAATATGGTTTTTATAATTTATAAGTACGTTTTCAAAATGTCAAAAATAATAATTTGAATGAAATACTTAAATATCTATACATAATTAAACATTTAATGTGAATGCTCGGTGAATCACTCTGAATATATATAATGTTTCACTGAAGCCCATATATTGATATATATATACATATTGTCCCATATATTGATTAAAAAAAATGCATTGCTCCTCTCAGAATCTAGATCGGTTTAGGGATGGTTCATCAAATGGAGTGTGTCAGTGGCATGTTTATAATTATTTATAACGATGTGATATTTACCAGCGATCATGATTTAGGAAGTGATATTTATTTTTATATGATTTTACACACCCTCTCCGTATATATTTTGCAAAATTAAATCAGCATATTTTATTTTGAACGATATATTATATTAGATAGACATTTTAATTATGTAAAATGTTAATGCCAAGGTTTTTTTTTTTATTATTATTGATTTTGTTATAGTTTAATCTTTAGCAATACTATACTCTGTTCCATCTAAGAGTGAACCGCTTTCGCGCACTCAGACTGAGCCGACGAACAGTGCCGACCTCTCATGCGATGGCTATGCTTTCTGTGATTGGCGGACAGTGATCGCCGGCCGTCGTCGGACGTCGGGCGCCCGTGTCAAGACTCCCACCGATGCCCGGATTGTGGTGGGAATGCGCGGAAAAACATGTTTTGGTCAGCCGAGTGGTTCACTCTTAGATGGAACAGAGTATATTAGTTATATGCTTATTATTGCCATTCTGGTCTTGGTGTTTTTTAAATTTTTATAGTTGATTGATTTAGTTCCATTATTTTTATTTTTTGTACAACAATTTTAACAAAAAAAGAAGTATTTATCTAGCAAGTAGCAGTCAACAGACAACATAATAGATGTCCAATAATACCTAATAGTGATAAACCACAAAGTAAAAAGTGCTTTAGACCTGCACAGTATTACTCTTAGGTATATGTTCTATTTTTGTTTTTGTGTGCATCAATTACTTACCTATTTTATCTAATCTGCTTATTGTGCTTTAGCACAGTAGATTGTAAATATTCAGTTATTAATAAGTATGTGCTTGGTTTTAATTTAGTTAAGTTATTTTTCTATTTAACTAGTACTTTCTATAAGTTAAAAAAATGAAAAGTAAATTCCAAATTAAAACTTAACTCAAATATTATAGCAATATTAACTTAATTTGACGAGTCAAAAAAAATAGTTTACTAACCTTGAATTAATTACATTATGACTCTGTTTAACTTATATATACCAATTATCCATAGACATTTACAGTGTTTTATAAATGTATTACAATGTTTTTAACATACGAAATAATAATTTTGACCAACATTCCCCCCCCCAAATCTCCTATCGAACACGTCACTGGGGTGCGTATACGACACGTCAGCTGTGGTGGCAGTGGCGATTGCGGTGGCGGTGATGGTGTAATACACAATTAAATCCAAATAGATGAGAGTACTATTACTACAATTATTCGAGGACAGAAGGGAGAGAGAAATGGGATAATGCTAATAAATAAGATTAGTGCAGTGCTAACTTACACCGGTCGTACACTCAACCCTTTCCGGTGTGCTTGTGTGTTCTATATTGTATATATTATTGTATACGTTTGAACGTTTCTCTCTCTATCCACGCTATAATATTACTATATTTTGATATTATATAATACGTACAACAGTGTGCTCTCATCTCTCGTTCGGAATTAAACTCCATGAACACAGCTTAATATTATTATATCACCAATAAACATTTATGGTAGTCCGACCCAAAAGGCGAGTAGTGTGCCTATGTAATCTATTTACTACAGCCTTATATAAATAGTAAATAATGAACAATATCAAACGAAAATATTATTATGAACAAGACATTCGTGCGTGATGGTGTATAATATAATAATGACAATTTTAATGAAAGACAAAATAAATACATCATTTTTTTTTTTTTTTTATTGAACAAAAATTTATATTTACAATCTGTATTTACATCTAGTACAATAAGTAAATGGGATGTTGGTTGATTAACGGGAGGGGGAAGTCACCCAATGGTGGTACCCCGTAAATACATCATTTATAGTGCGTTGTTTTTTGTCATATTATTAATCGATTAATATACAAAAAAAACAATACATCATTATTATTGTAATCAATAATGCTGCTTTTCTGTGCAGTAATGGATTTCGGCATTAATAAACTGTACACACGAAATTCGAAGGAAAAAAATTAAATTTCGTATATTATAACTTAGTATAAAGTATAAACATCAAATGCTTGTTGGAATCTCTGTATCACCACTTGTCCTCACAATTTCCGTGGTTTTTTTTACAATAAACGTTACAGAACTCTAACTTTGGGGTTGTTTTTATTTTTTCTATAGTACAAAATTTATAATTTATTTGCAAATATAATATGCTACCTTTTAAAGTTCACGCTTAATACTCGAGTTGTGTTAAATATCCAAACAACAAAAACGCTAAATTGAATAGATGAATATAAATATGAATTCAATGTATTAAACTGAAAGGAGTTAGTTAGCACAAAACAGTTATTATTCTTTTTAATGTGCCAAGAGTGTACCTCTACGGCTCTACCGACTTATTGGGACCATTCGTGTATTGTTCCGTTATAAATGTTTTCGAACACATTTTAATATTTGTTCTGTTTTAATTTGTTAAAATTACATACTTACAAAGTTACAACCTTTTAAAAAGCGGGTGTATGATGTTCCCTTAATATAATATAGAAATTTTACATTAAAATTATAGTGCTATAACCGTTGTGAAGAAGAAAAACAGTAGGTAGTCCAGTTATTGTGTAATTGCGTTAATTTTTTCCTTTTCAGTGATAAATTACACAGCTACCTACAACATTTCAAAAATAATTGTTAAAAACCGATAAAATGAAAGCACAAAAAAAAATATGTTAAATTGCTTAAATGTTTTATTATGTTTATATAAATCACACTTTATTATTACAATAATATTCTTAAACAACAAACTCAAATTACAATTTAATTTTTTTATTATTTCATCTTTTCAGCATTACCTTAAAAGTTAATAACTATGATTACAATTTTTCAATTTACATTTTTTATATATGTTCCTTTTACAATGGTTGTCCTATATATTATACTATATTGTCCTAATATCTATATAAATCAGTTTTTTTAAGTACTACTTTGTTTTTAGCGTTCATTTTGCTGTAAAATGATTTTGAGCAGTTGATCAGTGAAAAAATTAATTCAAATTTAAAATTCAATAATAACAGAAAAATAATATTGTTTATAGGTAGTTAATAATTAATTAAGTGATAACTAGGGGCCGGAATTATATTTTTTTTGAGTCTATACAGTCAGATGGGGGTTTGAAATCTTTACAAATCATGAAACAGGTGAGTTAATGGCAAAAGTTTTTTTTGCATATTTGGAAATATTTTAAGATAAAAGAATATTTTGTATAATAAAGAATATTAGACAATATATATATTCATTTTTATTGATATTCGATATTTTTTGTTGAAGCGGCGTAAATAATATAAATTATAATATGTCCAATAATAGTGATATGATATTGATATATTATTATATATTTATACACCATCGTATATACGATTGTTATACCCTAAAATGGGACAGTCACTTGCAGTTTTTTATCCCAATATATTTCATGTTACAATTGTAGCTCACATGTTCAATAGGGTTTCAGAAAAGGTTAGAGAAATGTATCCAGACATAATTAAATTAATCAATAACAAAAAAAAAGTATTTCTAAAATCCCCATACCATGTACAAGAGTGTAAAGAAATCTTACCAGATATTCCGTTACCGCCCGAACCAATATTAACCAGATGGGGAAAGTGGTTGGAAGCTGCTATTTTTAACTATTGTGATATAATCCAAGGCTTATAAAAAGTTATTGTCAAAAATCTCCCAATAGTAATATAAATAATTGTCAAAATAATTGAATATTAAATATTATTATTAGGTAATAATTTAATCAAACCTTTTTTAACATGACGTAGTATTTTTTATTATGTACCTATTTATATCAGGTTCTTGTATTATTTTCTTAAGTATTTTGCATATAAATGCATATTTTTAGTTCAAGAGAATATTTTAATAAAAAAGCATATTTTTTGCATATTTTATTATGATTTTTAAAGAATATTGAAAGAATATTTTCAACTTTTTAAGAGAATATTAGCATCTTATTTTGGCTACCTGTTTTAAAAGAATATAATTCCGGCCCCTAGTGATAACTAATATTTTGTTATCCTAGGCCCATTTCACAGCCACTCATATAACGATGAATGTGGAACAGGTGTCGCGTAATAAAAAATCAAAATCAAAATAGTGAAATAGATTGAAATTAAATTCATCATTTTGATTTCAAGCCCCGACTATAAAATATTATATTATAGCCATACAAGAATATTTTAAATACATCGGGGAGGATAATGTTTTGGATTCGAAATGGAGAGTGAGAGGGAAGGATTAATATCACGTGCAGTAATTTAAGTGACTGATACAGCGTAGGTACATTTAATATGGTCGGTGAAACGGTGTATTACGTTGTGGCGTTTTCGCAGCGAAGCCGTTTCGGGATTTTCGGGAGATCACGGCGCGAGCAGCAATAAATATTACTTCCGTCTGGAATATCAAATCGGATGGCGAATATAATACAATTTCTACCACCGCCACACGCACTACACGTGTATTGTACATCGATCATAAAATATATTTTTTGTCTTCATATTATATATGTTTCCGATACGCGAGTGAAAAAAACAAAAAACAGAGAGAAAAAGTTGTTTTCCCCTTCTCTATTGTTCCTCGGCATACTTTTGCCAGTGCTGTGCAGTGGGAGCCGCGGTACACCCCGTACAACCGAAAACTTTACTCTTATACGAAAGCTCCTCCGGCAAAAAATTATTTATCGATGCGATTTCTGTCTTTATATATTATATAATATACGAAGAGAAAAGAATTTTTTTTTACTTACGCGCGTTTAACTTTTTCGGTATACTGTGCTGCTGCAGCTTATTATTATTATATTTATTTATTTATTGTGTTATTATGATACGTTTTCCGTTTTATTTTTCAGTTAATACTATCGACGGTCAGAGCTTGGAACTCTGCAACAAACTCGAACACGTCTTACATGGACGACGTAAGTAATTTATTTCTAATCCATATTATATATATATATGATATGTATATAAATAATACTGCTATAATAATAATATATAGGTACATGCGCGGCGTTCGTAGTTCGTACGCAGTTAAGCCGTGTTAAGGTTTTAATATCCATTATAGCATGTTATTAAATTTAATATTATATAAATGTACCTCCGCAGTCAGTTATTTTTTTTTTTTACAACGACCTTTATAACGCAGGTACTAGGAGGTCGTAATATATATATATACGAGTATTAATATTTACGGTATTTATATTTTTCTCTCGCCCGAGCGCACACCGAATATAATATATTCGTAGGTTAGGTCTACCTACCCTAAATTATAACAATATACCTACAGACACATCAGATTCATTAACGAGATTTTTCCCCATTTCCCATTATTATATTATTATCGTCACCGTAAGCTCCCGTTTTTCCGTGCATATTTCATTTCGCAACCTACGCTCGCGTGTAATAATAATATTATACACCTGAAGTGCATTTTGGGACGAATTTCAGAGTCGCGGTGATGCGAATGTATATATATATATACATTATAATATTCCGTAGATACATATTATACAGTGGCAGCAGTTGACAGCGGGTATATAAAGTGCGCATATACGACAACACGTCACATTTGAAGTTTGGACTGTTCGGATGACTGAATTATAAATGGGGCACTAATCGATTCTCTCGGGCGTATTTCTGCAATATTTAATTTATGTTGCGTCTCTCGAGTGTGTAGGTTTGGTATATCTAAAGCTTTATACGTAACGATTTTAATTCGACATAATATATATATATATAGTATATAAACAGATCGAAACATATTATTATTATTATTATTATAAACGGAAACGTATTATTATGACATTACATTAATAATATCATTATTGTAATTATTATTGTATAGGGGATAATAATATTATGATAATCATCATGTGACGTACGATATTATACGGTATGAGGTATGACACATCAATAGCATGCTCAAATTCTTAATGTTCCTTTAAAAACGTATTTATTGAAATTCTGATTTTTAGAATTCTTAAGTAGGTGTTCTTAAATACCATATTTTCAAATGTATACAAAAATACCGAAAGTCAGGGCTTAAACAAATGTATAATAAAGGAAATAATAGGGGTGAACATGGTCGGTGAATTGCCCTCTGGTGTGTTATTATATTATAGCCATATACAACGACGAGGGCTATAAATATATTTCATCACTGCATACTAAACTATAATATTATAATAATAACAAAACATATTGTACAGTACAGCAGCGCCTATCCAGGGTTAGGTCAGGCGGGGTTGCACTCTTACCAAAATTTCAGGAAGAAATATATGTATACGATGTTTGTGTATTTAAGATGTTATGAATATAATGTTATACAAACACGCAGTACCTATATAAATATATTATATGCCACTGGCTGGGTAGCCCCCCCCCCAAAAAAAAACGTCACGTCACCACTGGTATGATACGTTATAATTAGAATGGGGATTTGTATATTATGTAATTTCATAATGTATTATTCTGATTGATCGTATATGGTATGCTATAAGTGTAAGCACACAATTTGGTTTATGGCATAAAGAATGAAAAAATGAAATACTTTTATTGCATATTTCGGCCTTGTAATATTTGAAGGACTTATTAGATGATATTAACTACATTTTCATCTTTTAAGGGACATTTAGATGTTTCTAGAAATTTTTGTAGGACTTAAAAAATAATAATAATTTAAATTTATGTCTTATTTTAATATTGAAATAAATTAATATGGCCATATAGATACCTATTGTTAGGAATTACCAAGATATATCCAACAGTTACGATACGCATCTGTTCGATTATAAACAAAATATGTATCTTTATAATCTTGCCTATCTTTAATGGTATTTTTATGTAAGTAACTATTTACTAAAATAAAATAAATATTTACAGGGTGTTGAACAATAAATATGTCAAACTTCTAAAGGTGTTTCTATACCTCAAATGGAACAAAGAAAGTCCTTGTGACCATGATCGAATTATCAATAATAAGGGTGATAATTTCCGTGCTTGTGTTTTTTTGTTAAAAGCAAGTCTGATTCATAATAATGTTCACATCTGCTAAACCGTATAGGTACTACAATTAATTTGAATACATTGATGAAAAGCTCGTAAAATTGGGATTAGGAAAACATATCTTACAAGGTTAACACCTGATTTTTTGGGTAAAAAGAATAACACACATTTTTTACAACTTTAAAATGTCAAAATTTTAAAAAATTACAGTGTTATCCTACAACAATTTTTTTTAAAGTAGGTGGGTGCAAATTTCAAAAAACTTCAAAATGTTATAAACTTTTCAACAGTGTACTCGTTTTTTTTCGTTAAACCTTTCTGAAGGGTCGATATTCCATCTAATGTGTGGAAAAACGGGTATTCAAATTAATTGTAGTACCTGCGGTTTAGCAGATATGAACATTATTATGAATCAAACTTGAGGTTAAACTAAAAAACACAAACATGGTAATTACCACCCTTATTATTGATAATTCGATTATGGTCACGAGAACTTTTTTTATTCCATTTGAGGTGTAGGAACACCTCTAGAAGTTTGACACATTTATCGTGCAACATTCTGTATATTAAGATCTTGCGGGAGTTCGAACCATGATCGATATTATCTATTTATTATATTTTTATAGTTTTTTATAAGGTAAAATTTATGAAGAATTAAATGGTGTTTGTTTTTTTGATTACATTTATTCGAGTACCTAGGTTAATATTTTTATTTTTTAGTGTTTACCTATAATATATAGGTACACAGTATTATTATTTGGCTTGCTTTTGGTGCATTTATAAATCCATGCTCTTTACTTATAATGGTATTAAGATATATACATATAAATCAGTCGATTTGCACTGAATGAGTAATAAATGTGTTTTTTTCTTTTTTTTTTGATAGTATGAAAACTCGTGGTCACCCTGGTCCGATTGGTCGTCGTGTTCTCGAACGTGCGATGGCGGAGCCACTTATCAACTACGAAGGTGCAATGCAGTGGTCGGCTGTAAAGGTCACCACGTCAGATACAAAATCTGCAACATGGAGGTAGTTCTATAACGGTTGTACTAATGCACTTTAGTACTTTTCTTATTAGGTTTTCGTAACAATACTAAATTGAAATAATAACAAACTAGTCTTTATTTGACGTCGGAATAATTATTGTGAAAAAAAAAAGAATTTTTAGTATTCTAAACAATTTCCGTAAACAAGTATTTTTTTATGAAATTGCAGTAATTTATTAAAAGTACTACGACAATAATAGATCATTTTCCTCTGTGTATTACAAAATAATTCAAGTTTGTTAGAACTTAAAGACTAGAGATTTTCTCATTGCACTACCTATATATACTTCATTTTCACTCAACGATAACAGCACCGACAAAAAACAGTCATAGTAATTTTTCATTTATTGTAATTGTGTATACACGGTGCTTGGAATTAAAAAAAATAGAAAGGGAATAGATAAAATAAAAAAAATATTGCATACTTGAGGATTTAAATTTCTCATTGATTAGGATTTAGGATATAATTAGAAGATTAAGTACCCTAATATTTTTTTTTTTAAATATGAGGTACTCCGTCCCCCTAAAATTCAAGGACTACCGCGTGTACCAACATAATATAATAGTTTCTTGTCAACGAATCAAATAGGTACAGACTCAAAAAACTTTAGATACTACCATGCAGGGTTCTTGTGTTTATCTAGATAATCAAGGTATGCAAACATCATGGGAATTATGTGAATAATACAGCAATAACTTTGTAGCTGCTGATGAAAAAAAATATTATATTAATTTTCAACGATGCTCTCGGCTGCATTCAAATGCCAAGCAATCTTCGTCTAAATGATTTAACTACAAGTGTGGGTTTTCCGGGTCGTCGTAGTTCATTACGAGTTTGGCTCGTTGTAATTTTGGCATCCGTTTCCCCGGCAGTGTGCACAAATATGTTTTGTACGTAATTTCTTATAAACTGCGAAACCCTCTGCGTGTGTAATGCACGATATTAATTTCAAAAGGTAATCTCCAAGAGCAGATGGATCATTCGTGGTTATTGGAACCAAATCATATTTTGTTTTAATCCCCAAGCCCCAAGTATTTTGGAATTAAACTGAGACTTATCTGTAGTAAATTATACTTGTCGGTACGAACATAGACCGTTTAGTCGATTTGATTCTACCATTGTGGAGATACTGACTTGATAGGTTGACTTCTGTTTTTCGTTTTACTACCATATAATATTTAAAAAAACAATGTTCTCCGAACACATTGTCCGTGTTGAGTTTCCATTTAAAACATTATGGTTAACGAATGACGTTAAAGGAATCAATAATATCGTGAGATAAAAATAAGTGAATTAATCCATTATAAAATTTAAAAGTAAGTATATTATCTAGTGATTATCATAGTCCCAATATTTTAATTTTAAAGCAAATTATGAGCGTTTTATGATTTTTAGACAAATTACAGTTTTAAAATGATCATAAGCATAGGTAATGCAATTTAAAATTAAAATACGTAAAAAAACTTATGAGATTCACTGGGTAATATTCTTACTTTTAAATTTGATAATATGTCAATTGACTCTGATATTATACATAACAAAGTGAAATGGATTATTCATAATTCATAACGAACGATTTGCTAATATGTTATGCGTTTGTAAGATGTAGATAACGCTGATACCTATAAACTAGTTTTTTCTATACGAGACGTTTTATCAACTATAAATACACATGGTGCATATTCCAAAGAATTAACATTTGGTAGGATAAATTAATAATTATACCTAATAAAATATGCTTTGGGATCTGACCTAAAAATTAATAATATTATTATTGTCAACATTTAGCCTTTGGCTTTACCTGGTCTTAAAAAAAGTATAGGTAATTGAAGAATACTTACTTTATTCTGGACTTCTGCAGGTGTCAATAATACTTAATTGTAAATAAAATTTAAATGCTGAAGACATTATTATTACGATTGTCGCACGGACAAGACCTACTACAATCATATGTGGAGTTATTATTATTGTTTAATATTTGACAGACGAATTATGGCTGAATTATTGATAATGCATGTCTAGACTTTATAGAGCTTGATACACTTCAATATACCAAATTTATTCATTTTTAATGACAATGATCGTGTAATAAATCGGCTTTTATTTCTTTTCGTTACTTATAAAAATTGTCTCGATTTACAATATTGAACGCAGTAGACAGTAGTCATACATTCTTCACATAAAACATCACTTTAGATGGATGTTTTTTTTTTTTTTTTTGTTCTTGTCGTAATCTTTCGAAATTTTTTATGTTTATTTTGTATTTGAATAGCCATCGCCATTTTGTAGACCCAAAGCGCGTGTTTTTACAAATTGAGTATAAAGTGTACAAATATGCACATTATTTGAGTTGGTTTTACGACGTAAAAAAGAAAAAAACAGCATTAATCAGAAACTTGTCTGGTTTATAATACAACGTTTTATTTTAATGGTGTGAAATAGGGTAAAATAAAGATTTTGTTGTTGTTTTGCTCATGCATTTTGATGAATTATTGATAAAAGTTCGAATTTAAAGTACCTACGATTTAAATCGTCATCATCTTGAGTTCGCATGCACAAATAATTCATTGGAACAGTCATGTAGAATTTACTGGAATTGTTTTAATGTGTACCATAATATATATTAACCCTATGTTAATCGTAGCATGTAAGTACCTAGAGACTAAAGAAAAAACATTTTAAACTTTCAACTTTACGTCTTTTGAGTTGTCAGTTATTTCTAATCATAGAACTAATTGATATATTATACCTTAGTACCTGTATAATATCTAATTGTGAATATTTTCAAATAAATATATATAGACTTATATACATTATATTATTATATCAAACATTGTATTAACATTTATCTCCGCTATATCATACTTGATAATATAATATTTTGACATGTCGCTTTTTATTAAAATCTCACAACATAATATACATAATAACAGTCAATTATTATAACGGCTGATGAAAATAATATAGTATTCAGGTATTGCACTGCTGCTGGTTATAATTATATTTTGTACTTTGACATAATATATAACTGTTGACTTGAATTTTATTTAAAAATCTAATTATGTCTAAGAAAAAACTGAAAATCAACCTATTTTTGGTAAGGCCATAGTCTTCGACACGACGTATTGACTTGTATGAACTAATTTCACTGTACTCATGCTATAACGAAAAACTCGTAAATGAACCAACTTTTTTCAGCTTTGTTTTTAACGTCGTAATTTATATGCGCGAGAACTTATTCTTTCTGACTTTCTGAGATTGAAACAACTCACTATAATACTCTACTATAGTATAGTATGTACCTATACATATTGTAATGTATTAGGGTACCTAAACGTACTTTACTACGTTTACTCCATTTTAATACATATTCCATTGTTCCGAATGTTTTTCCTTTGTACGTATACAAATTGTTTTTTAAATATCGATTAACGTGCGCAAAAGAAATATTGTATATTATACATACATACATATACATAATATACTTTAGTTTCGAACAACATTACGGGTAGTCGTAAATTTCGTAGCACCGCGGTGGGGACAGTCTGGAAACACGCGCAACGACGACGACGACAACAGTGATCGAATTCGATTTTAAAGTGGACTCGTTCCGCAAAGCCCGCGTGACTTTCACGGGTGTTTTCAACCTATCGCCAGACGTCAAAACCATCTCTCGCGAGCAAGTGCCAACAATAATTGCAATTTCAAGCCGTCGTTCATACGGCGAGGCTCTCCCGTTTTTATTTATTCATTTGTTTATTTGTACGGAAACGAATTCCATGTCTATAATAATTATTACGAGTACGAATAGGTACTTGGTATCAGTGTTGAGAAAAAATCCGATAACAGATAATTAATTCAAAATGTATCTTTTTTTTTTATCTTGATAAAGATAAAATATTTATACATTTATCTATAGATAAAAAAAATAGATAATTTAATTTATTAGTAATTACTAATAAAGTAATTTTTATTAATGTCATTAACGAGCTCTATCGAACATTCTATGACAATAAACTATCAATAATTTTCATACACTCTATATAAATTACAGATATTATGCAAACATTGATTCAATTTCAGTTATCTTAATTTTTTTTTTTTTTTTTTGTATCAAAAACCATACAATAAGTGGTTTGAACCATACAAAAACAAAAATATACACTATTTTACCCACTAATAAAACCTACATACTGAATTTCGGAAAATATGTAAATACTTATATGCAAAATTACATTTTTATATTTCAATATAGACATCATGAAACAAATTTCTATCTGAGAATAATATGTGCAATAGGACAACCTAAAAATAAATAACCCTAACCCTAAAATAATAACAGTTACAGAATTTTACAATGATATTTCGTCGATACCATTTTGGTTTTTTTTTCTTGCTAAAGGTTGTTATCTATATTGTATATTTCGTTATAAATTTATTGTTTCTGCCACAGCCGTGCCCCGACGGATTGGATTTCCGAGCGGTGCAGTGTTCAGCCTACAACGACCAGCCGTACGACGGCGAGACCGTGGAATGGCACCCTTACTACGACGAGGAGAGCCCTTGCACGCTAATGTGCGTCGACTCCAAAGGCCGAGTGGAAGAAATGGCCCCGAGGGTGCGAGATGGCACAAGGTGCAGGCTGGGCTCGTTGGACATGTGCATCGACGGCGTTTGTCAGGTGAGATCCCGAAATGGCGTACATGCAGTTGATATATATTATGTTTTTATAAATTAATAAATTATAATACAAAGCACGGAAATTATCAAATTTTTTTTATTACTCATGTATACATAATGGACCAGTCATGTACCACTAATGACTAAAAATATAACTATTAGAAATTGAAATTCATTTTTAACGATAATAATATATAAAAATAATAATTCATGTACATTTAACAGTATATTCAGTACCCAAAAGACCAAAAATAATACTGGATCCGTTACAAACATTAGGTAATAAAAATATTTATTTATTAATTGTATGTACTACCGCCACAATAATATGTCATTCCGCGTACCACCATGTAGTCTTTTACATAATACTACGCTTACTACAGTTAGTGAACCGTTGATATAAAAAATGCGAGCTCACATAGCTGTGATTCCAGACTACAAAAGGTGCAAGGCAAGTCGATGAAAAGAAAATCACTTGGATCAGTTTATAGTTAAGTTAACGTGGAGATCGAAAAGTCAATGATGGTTACCAAATATGTAATATTGTATTCAAATATAAAGTATAGGTACCTATGCTGAAATTGTTAACTTATCATAGTAAAAAAAAAAATGAGCTTATTGTTTTTATAATTACCATCCGAGTGATGACAGACGGATAGTAAAAGGAGATTTTAAAATCGTATAAATAATAAAATACTAACTTTTTTGTTTAAACACTCACTCTACTTTAATGCACCTTGACGTGATATGTGCAGGATGTCAGCTGATTATTTAACAAAACCTGAATAATAGGTTAAGTAGTTCTCTATAAATCTGTGCTCAATTTATTATTTACACGAGTTCAAAATTAGCACTTTTTGAAAATTACATGGTCTATAATAATATGTATGTCTACTATGTCTATCAATAATTGCACAATATATTTTGTTGACTTAACCTTAAGTGCCGCTTTAGTTCCAAGGCTATAATTATAGTATCACACTAAAGTTTTATCGATCCGCATCCGCTTGTGATCAATTTTGACTTTTCCTCTCAAAACTGGAGTACAATAGTAGAAAAAATAATTCATCGTAAACACACTACGATCGATTGAATTACATTGTAATTTCGTGATTGACAAAACCGTAGTAATAGCTAGTCTCGGTTTAATATTGTGAAAGCTCCATGTCTCGTTATTCGTGATGGTCGTTGCAGGAGTCAAACCAGTAAGAAACAATGGAAATTACGAGGACGATGGGATTATAATTAATAATTATGATATTTTAAACTCAACTATGAACCTAACCTACAAATAATAATACGAATAAACCGCGTTTGAAATCCACTTCACGATAACAAAGTGTAGACTACGCTTTGTTTTTTTTTTTTTTTTGTTAAAAGTACATCCAAGGCAGCAACAGCCGTCGGAGCGAAAACAGGAAAAACTACAGTGAATAGCTTAAAATTAAATTAGTAGATTACATTAGTATTTTATATTTAACGAATAGGTTTTTTTATTTATTATTTGGTACACCGTGTAATTGTATATGATGTTATACGACTTTTAGGTTCAAAAGCCCTAAAGCAGTTCATCGCTGTAACATATCATTTTAACATGTTTACGACAGTAATAGTTAGTTTACCTTCCACGAAAACCATGCACCTATGTTAACGCATCGTGTACGTTATATTATTGTCCTCAGAGGGTCGGCTGCAATTTAGAAATCGGATCAAAGGCCAGCGTGGACGAATGTGGAGTCTGTGGCGGAGATGGTACGTCGTGTTCGAAGGACCTACACCACTGGGGAAAAATGGGCACTGGTTGTTCGGTGTCTTGCGGCGGAGGTGAGTGCGGCTGACGGCCTTAACAACTTAAAACGAGTCGTATCCAAAAATAATTAATTCATTTTATATTATATTATAATGTGTGTGTGGCTGGTGACGTACGTGTCCACTTATTTTTTTTTTCTTGAAGCTACGTTATAAAAAGTGTTTTAAAATCGTTATCCTAAACTTAGTGCGTGGTTGATACGGGGAGGAGGGGTCTCAAACGACTACTGCTCTCCGATATTTTCGCCTGTGTGACCATAATATAAAAGTATAAAACAGTAATATGAGGTTTGACCATTAGGTCTAAAGTTTATTTTGGCAATTTAATTTTTATAATAACGATAGTAGAATTATACTAGTATATACGATCGTATTTTATTTATTTATTCGTGTGATGTTTAAGTGAAACTTAATGGAAACTAAATAAGGACTTAGGTACTAACTATTGGTAATATTTTGCCAGGACCAATACGATAATCTTTTCAAAAAAAATATGATTAAGTTTTAACATGAAAGTATATGATCAGTCCGTTGAATATGATAATAAACTAGGCGTGCAGTCTTTTCATTGCAAGGTAATTACAAGTTACAACAGTTCGTACTTATCTCGATTAATAAGTGCTTCAATTAAATCATGCATTTAACTATTTAAGACATACTGAAGTTCATTTACTACGAAATTCGATGTACTTACACCGCTAGAAAAAAACGTTTTCCGAATCTTCAAAAACACTGAACTCAAACCCCTCCACCTAAATTTCCCACTGTGGACACAGGATAATTGCTATAAATTCGTTACAACCACATTATGACCACAAAAAATTCATAATTTAAAAATTTCTTTTTCGTCCTAAGAAAACAAAAAGATAATTTTCCTCTGTTTTTGATGGGAAGTCGGAATATTGTATTATTCCGATTTCTTCGTATACAATAATCGCAACGATTTCATGGGACAAGTTGCGCATGCGTGGGTGTTTTCCTCGAACCACGGTGACATGACACTGTTTTCCCGTGGTGCCGATTTGTCGGCCGTCGGTTTATGTCATATTATGATGATCATGTGCGCGCACGAGCACAGGTACTCACAGGTCAGGGTCGAGGTCGTAATAATATTATTATCGTACGCGCTGGTTGGTATATACAGAGTGATTCACCAGCCATGTTCAATACCATTTTTTTGGAATTATTAAATATACTAAAATAAGTATTTATATTTTCAAATTCTTTGAGATTTTTTGTATAATACCTACCTAAGGAGTGCTGCTCTGTGGCGATACAAACTTCGGTTTTTCAAATGAGAACGCCCATTTTATAATATAAGTATTGTTTTGGATATATTTTTTTCGTACATTTTGATATACCTAATTCAAAATTCGAACGATTAGATTTCAGTTATTAAAACGCTTATAAAAAAAACAATACAATTTAAAAAAAAATTGTTATACAAAAATATTAAATAGATACATACTAGTTCTAGTGTATATTATATAATATGTATATTAATCCATAATAATATTATATTAATTACTAGAATGTTCAAATCATCATAGTCCCAATATCTTCCAAGGATCGTTTATCCTTATTCCACAATGTTAAATAACTCAATATTAATAATATAGAATTTTAATTTTTATACGTCAACATTTACAGAAAAACAAATAAATAATTATGATAAGAATAAGAGGGGATCTTTTTGGAAAAACAAAATTTTGTATCTCCACGGGACGTTCCTTGAGTGGTACAAAAATTCTCAAGAAATTGAAAATATATGGTTCTTAAGTGTATATTAAAAATTTGGAAAATCAGACTTCGAATAACTGCGTAGGTATTATTGAAGAAAGTGTTGAGCATGGTCTGGGTGAATTACCCTGTATATTACATGAACTTGCACAGGAAAAGAGTGAAGACGTCGCAAGGGGCGGTGAAAACCATCGGTAACGTATATCGTCGTACACCTACCCGTAATACAATAATATACAAACTACACAGCAGAGGTGGCGCGGCGGACAGTTGGATTTCATTATGTCTAAAAGGCCGAATTATGAACAATAATCCTAATAATACTCTGGAACCTGTAATAACGGTCGGCCGTGTCTCGGCGGCTTTTGACCGCCACGTGAAAAATACTGACAATGATAAAACGTTTTAATCAATTCTAGTACCGCGCGCGCAGTCTGTTTTCGGTCGCCTCTTATCGCTCCTGCCCGTAATGTGATTAATGGCTTCGAATGCCCCCGCTCGAAGTTCTTTACGGATATATAGTACGCCGTATGACTTTCTTCTTATTTTCTTCTATTATTTTCACAGTGCCTACGCCTCACACCCCCCCCCCCACCGCCACCGATCCCGCACGCCCGTCGTCGTGTTTATATAATATTATTATACGCGCCAATCCAAGCACAACGCCCAGCCGAATATAATCCGCGCCAAAGTCGCCGCAAAGCTCCTTAACCGCGTGCTCTTAGTGTTTGTGTTCTATTATTGTAATAAGACATATTGTAGATTAGAATTAAACGCATTTGTATTCCGACGGTTCTCGAATAATATGTATATTATAATAATATATACATAGTAATATATAGGTATTAAGGTATACATATCATGGAGGTTACAATATTGCATCTATGTGTACAACGATAGTGTAGGTACTGGTACATAATATTATTAATGTAATGAATCCGTTTGCACATGACCGTTCTTCAAATGGAACACTTTAGATAATATAAATAGTTCACAGTACGGTTGATATTTGTTATAATAATGATACATTTATATTATATCATCACAGTAGGTATGTGATAATAATATCGTCGTTATTCATATATATATTATTTATATAATGTATTATTGTACTATTTTATACTTTGCATTTAATTGAATATATTTTTTTGACATGGATAACTTTGAAGAGAGTTCTTCAACGACTGCACTCAATTCTATTTTAATTGTTCATTGATAATTAACTATATATATAATATATATTCATATTTTTTCAGTACAAATAGAGTACTGCTTTTTATTGTATAATGTAGGTATATATTAGGTATATTCTATTATTTATTCTCAATTATATGATTGAATTTTGCATTGTACTTATGTCCTCAGATGTTATATAATATTATTAAATAGGTATACATAGCAGTCACTTCAATTTTATCTAAATTGACATTTGTAACAAAAAGTATTGTACCCACGACTATTGGAATCAGCATTGTATATATTATAGAGTTTATTAAATCAACAGACCGATTATATTATATGTATACGTCTTCGAATTTATTGGCCTGCTGTTGGCAACTTTATAATGGTTTTGTACGGATATGCTACTTTGTACACTTTACTGCTAATACTACAATACTACTATACAGGATTTAGCATTTACATATTTTTTAAACAATTCCAAGCAATGTAGTAGAGTAGGGAAAATATTTGTTTTACGATATAACAACGAAGCAAAATTATAAATTTTATTTATTCTTTTTATATTGTACGTATTTACACGTCTGTTCTAGATTTTAGTTTCCAATTTTACATCGTTTGACATGTCTATAAATTGTTTTTAACTTTTGAATTTATAGGTTTGCCGTATATTTTATGAATTTACCATTTTTTATGCAATTTTTCTGTTAGATAATATTCTGTGAAAAACTACAAATAAAATTTGGTTTTTCATGTTTATCAATTTTTACTGCTAGTGTAATTTACGTAGTTTTTTCGATATGTTTTTTAATACCAAACCGCTTATCATGTTTTCCAGTCGACTTCTTATCTGAACTAATTTTGTCAATATATTTTTTATTAACACTATAATCATAAAATATTCTGTTTTAGGTATATTTTCTATTCCCGAAATATAATCTATTTTAAGTTTTTTTAGTTGACGCTTCAGTTAACAATCGTCAGTTAATCGTTTTTGAACGATTTTTAAACCATACTTCACAGTACTTATAATTGACTATATTTTAAGGCCGTCGTAATAATATTAAATTGCACATTTTTTAAAGCTTATCCCTGTAGGGCATAAGTATAAATTAAATATTTGTATTATATACCTACGGTTTAAGTACCTACTTATAACCCATTATGGGGCGATGTATATACTTGGCGAATACAACATTTATCGACATCGCCCATTCAATACCCCTACCAATGTACCGGTATACCAATACAAGTTCTGCGAACTGGTAGATACCAATATGGATTTGCTTGTGAGTTTGATCGTAGACAATTTTCTGTGGTTGTCATTTGAGTTATTGATCAGCTCGCGCGAATACTTTGCCCGTCACATGATTTCTCGTACATTAAGAACATCATTTATAATATATTACCGCACTCGTACAAATGGATGTAGGTAGTAATACTGTATTATATACATCTAGAATTTTTCAATTGAATTTTACCTTATACGATTTATTGTACATTATTCTTGCCAGTAATACACATCCGATGTCAAATAATAAATAATAATCGTCATTTTTACGATGGAAACTAATCCACATATTTTAGGATTGCATATAACACACACACACTTACATATTTATCGCATGATACAACGACGTTTGTTTGCTGGGTTATATTTATACTCGGCGCACAATACAATATAAAACGAATCGTTATAAATAACATCCAATATTTTGTACTTACAATTTATATTTAATAGAAACAATTTAAATATGTATATAATATATTAATATAATATCTGTATGACTGATGTGAACTGTCAAACATTTATAATGTATTTAAAGTATATCAAACTAACATTAACTTATTAGTATTTAGTAATATTGATAATTTTTAATTTCCTCTGTACTTATATTATAATTATTGAACCGTTCAACCGTTGTAGCTAGTTGATTGTTTGTAAATAGTAGAAATAGAAAATATACACTTTGAGTTTCTTTTTCAGATTTTATAAGTCAAATGAAAATTTATAACATTTTAGACGACAATTTTTACAATAATTGCATTACTTTTCATTTTTAAATTGGTTGGTAGGTAATTTAAAAATAACTAACTATTAATGAATATAGGTAATTGAAATAAATTAGGTACCTTTCGTGGTTTGAAACTTGCACCGCAAGTTTTTATTCTTACATTTTAATCACTTTAAAGTAAAGTTAATAGACGATTTGGAAAAACAATTTAAGAGAATAAAAAATTCAGGATTTAAAGAACCAACGGTAATTTTTAATCAAAACATTGCACGTATCCATCCACTTAAACTTTGTATAACAATACTATTCCATAGGTTAGAGTTTTTTAGGTACATTAAATATAATCTCATAGCATAGGTATATTATCTGGTTTATATAAATTAAAATGATACATTTACTTTAGTTGGTTTTTTGTGCGAAACACATATTTTTGTTTGTGTATACTTGCACGTGAATAAATTATTATTTATTTACAATTATTTTACACAAACATCACATGAAAACGACTTTTCTTTCCCACGTGGATTATTTTGTGTCTCGTTTTAATGGTTATATAATGCTATTAAATATTTACATTTTGCTAATATTACATTACCTACCACTTAATAACATTGGAATATAGGTACATCTACCTATATATTATACTGAAATAGGTAAAACACGTTGAAATTCATACGGTTATTAAGTTAAGCCGCCGTTATTAATTAGTTTCAATGAATAATTGTAACAATATTATTCGTAGAATGGACTGGTTGAAAAAGTCGATTGTGTAGTGACGAGAGAGAGGAGTATGATAACCAAACTAGCGACCTTTTTAATTCTTGTCGACAGTTCAATAAAAATAATAACCATTATTGTTGCACGCACGTTGGGTGGTATGAAATAATCAACATCATAACATTATATGAGTGACAAACATAGAAGAACCTCTGTATTCGAACACAAAATCCGAATTCGATAACAACATCCTAGTCACCCAAGTCAGACCCATCCACACTATTATAGGTTAGATGGCTGCATGAGCATATTTGACCGTAATTAGTTATTAAATTAGATTAAACGTCATAATATTATTATTTATTCTGCTAACATCGTATTTATCTGAAATCTAATTCTATTTGAGATTTTCTCTGGACATTGTAGTTGAAAGGGCTAAAATGTAATATTTCCAAATATTGTATAATGGTTTTCTATAGGAAACTTTTGAAAACTGCAGAAAATATTAGTAGAACTCTTATTTTAACTAAATTCGAATCAGATTAAAAAAACAATTACATATACTAATGTTTTATTTCTAGAATATTTAAAATAACTTTCACTCCCTGGAAATCTTCGTCGTAAGGAAACAGTGTCAGATCTTTTAGTTTAATTTTTTTTAACCTTTAAATCCCAAACTAATTGTTCCTAATGGGTGGTTCTTATTCGTGTAACCTCCATGTTTTTTCTCTTCTATTATTACATATACTTATTATGCTTACATCTGAATGGATTATATACATAAAAAAAATAATGATACTTACTATTATTACAGTAGGTACATACAATTATGATTCATAGTTAAAATTGAAAAATAAACCAAATTTTTCTATTAGATATATTATTTACTTTTAATTTTGTATAATTCACCTATTTGTATTTTGTGTATTTTAATTTAATTTCACTCATAAAATTCGAAAGCGATTTATTAATATTTTACATTTAAAAAATGATACCAGGAAAAAAATTGTTTATACACTGATTTACGACTTTTGGTCTTCGATATTAAAAAATGAAATATCCACTCAGAATAATTGTGTACGGGAGACGTTCCGAATATTACTTGCAAAATTCGACCCCGAATAAAGCGACGAATTTGTCACGACCGCCGAGTAAATAAACACGCATTCAACGCTCGCAGACGAATCGGGTTGGGGATTTTCCTGTGATGGTGTGGAGGGGAGGAGATATGATATTTTAAGTTCGTAAGTATACGTATATATGTGTATATTGATCAACAGATAATAACATTGTCAGCCCCGTCGGCACTGGCCTTGTTTTCTCTACTTGCACATTTTATTTTTTATTTTTACCACATACGTTGTAACATTTTTCTTCTAAATCAAACTGTGGACGTTCGAAATATAATTGTCTGTTTCGGATACACACACGTATATATGTATATATATATCCCATTATCGTTGACTAATAAAATAACTAAGGGTCAACAGACATATTGGACTCGATTTATATGCTTCGCGTGTACGTAAAACAAGTGTAGGATAGTATCGTTGGAAGGTTTTATGCTGTTGGCTATCAATAACAACCTGATCCTTGAACCAAGATAATTCTGTACTGTAATATATCGTATGTATTCCTCTCAAATTTCACAGATACAACTTACCAATATGCAACGATAAACTCATATTATTATTATTATTATTGTTAGTATTATTATTATATCATTGTTATTGGATACACGTAAACCAAAAAAAAAAAAAACATTAGTTGCCATTAATTATTTAAATTTGAATTTGAATAAAACTTGATAAATAATATTAATAACTTTTAAGTATTATATAAAAATAAAATATAAAAATGGCTGAGCGAAAAATAGAATGGAATTAAAATTGTTCGTATACGGTATACATAGGTAGGTTAGCAAACCTTATCCTATCGTATTTTGTTTTTAAACCGAACGAAAAACAAAAGTTTTGGTCACATACTCACCTCTTACATTTTTTACTAAGGGTTAATTAAAGCATACAGTTTAGTGCAGTGTACTTTATTTATGTAGTTATAAAATTAACTTTTTGATAAAACGCTGAAAAGGGTCGTTAGTATCCATTACACTTAGAAGTTGCAGCTGTCAAATGGCCGTTTAAATGCTTTATTATTTCGGAACAAATGAATAATTAACAAACAAACATTTTCAATCTAGATGTTTTTAGTGAAGAACTCTCATTATATTAGTATACCCAATGGCCAATACCTATATTTTAATATTTCAGTTGATAGTTAATTTAAAATTTGATCCCCGAAAATTATTAATTAATAAATAAACAATTGACTATGTAGGTATGTACGTATTTCACATGACTTGGTTTGAAAGTTTAATTGCTCATCGAACACCTACATGCAGAAATGTGTAGGTACTTAATTTATTTAATTATGGATATATTTCAACATGTATTTTACGTTTGGATTAGTTTCATATTATTTTTCAAAATTACCTAGGTAGGTACTTATTTTTTTTCAGATTGAATGGTATTTAGTTTGATTTTTAATAACTACGATCTAAATCTTAATCTATACATTATTATTACTTAATTATACAGATCGGTTTAAAAACTAAAATGACCATCATTTGAGAAGTACGATTGTCCTTAAATGTAGATGAGGACGTGAAGTAATAATATACGAAAACATTCGTCTTTTACAAAGTGCACTCTCGTGATAAGCTGATCCAAACTTGGATCAACTTGGATCTATAGAACATTACCGTCTACAAAGTGTCAAAAATATATAGAAGAGAACTAGACATAGTATGCTGCCTTGCTGTATGATAAAGCCCCAAGTCATATAATATAAGATAATATATAATATATTTATATTATATACGTGGACGATGTGTTAGGCGTTAGTACTTGAGGCAGAAAATAGTTACGTACTCTGTTACACGGCAGACAAGCGGAATCAGTAGACGAAAGCAGAGAAGTTCTAGTCACAATCGATCTTACAGACTTCTCCGACAAATTCCTCAAAACGGATTATTTTTGAGCAGTAAAATAGCCCAATAGACCGAGGTAAATATTCTTCGAGACAGAAGTATACTGCAAATACAACAGACTTTCGTAAGATAATCATATATGTTTCAAATATGTTATTTTTTCTATTTTGACTTGGTACATTATAGGTAAATGCATTTCACATATCGTAAGAAAAATACAGCACGATACACCTCCATAACTGATAAAAAAAAACTGATAAAATGTGCTACTAAAAAATATAAATTCCCATAATTGCCTTAAAATTATTTACGATTACCGTTGTTATTATTATTATTACTGTATTAGGTAGGTATCTCAACATTTTTTTCTTGTTGAAAAATAAAACATATTTTTATAAATAATACGTGTTATTGAAGATGATATAATTGCATGATTCTTTTCACATAATTAAGCCGTAAACACGGATCTTAGATTATTTTTTTTTTGTTTTATTCTTCTTTGGTCATATACCGCCTAAAAATGAGTCTTCCAACAGGATGTACAAGCTTATATACTCTGCGTATACCCGCGTGCACGGTTGTGGGTACAACACTATGATAGTACCGAAACGTCTCACACGACATTATGATAATATTATCTTACAATAATAAAATTGATACCACTCGCAATATTATAATATTTACAATACATTATGCATAATATAATATTATTATTATAATCTATTCGTGCCTGTTTCGTCTAGGGTATGAAATGTCTAGAATAATCTGTCAAAACCGAGACACGGGCGTTGAAGTGGATGCTGATCTATGCCCGGGCGAGAGACCAACCGGCAGCGATTTATCTGTGGAGTGTAACAGCCAACCGTGCCCTCCCAAGTAAGTGAACACCAGTAAAACTATAGAATTTGTATATATATAGATATATATATACATATATATATATTCGGCTTGGAACATATTTAATATATATTATACATAGGTACAATTATTTTACACACATCTGCGCATTATACACTATGTACATAATATAAATATAATAATAAAACAATACATATGGAACACGTACGATTAATATATATCATAAATTATGTAAGTATATTATATACACGCATAACATTATATGTATATGTATGTACATAGATGCGTGCAGGATGATGGTGAGGTGGGACTGTTTTATTCAGACGTCGCCGCCGCCGACACGTTTCGTGCATTAAATATGCAGCCTCCGGAAAAGCTGTGTTGCTCGGCGTGTGGATTTTCGTCGCGATTTTCTCGGGTCGGGTCCGACGAGGTCGGGGGTATGTGGACGGGGAGGGACGAATGATGGCAGGAGAGAGGGGGCTGAGTCACGAGCTTAGAACACGTTGAAAGATTAAACGGCGTGTAGTGTCGCAAAAATGCTTTATCGCTAAGCTGAGCATAATAACCGCGCCATATGGGATCCGTGTGGGATTTTCGTAATTTTTTTTTTTTATTTTTTTTCTCTTTTTTACCGACAGCCGTCATGGCACGACTTAAGCTTTGCCAATCCCCTTGTACATGTCATCTGCACAGAATCAACAACGTGTGTATGACACATTTTTGTCGTTCAGTTTTAACGTATTCGCGTGTGCCACGTAGGTAGTAGGTACCTATACTGCAGTTCGTCCGTGTAAGTGTGTGAGTGTGACACGACGTCAAAAGGCGTTTGAAGCGGGAAAAATTAGTAACTGGAACAAGAACAATCGACAAATCGTACGAAAACCAATAGACGATAATTCGTTTAATTCATGTTTTCTTCGGACCGCAATATATAATTTGTAAACGCTATATATCTTACAATATTATTTTGAAAGTTCAAGTTTCATATAAGTTATAACCACCATTATTATAACGAGACACTGACCGAAAAAAAGGTATCTACAAAATTCATCATAATATTAGTGTTATAATATAATATTAATATTATTAGAGTATTAACAGTGAAAATAAAATAATATTGTTCATTATCAAATATTCAAAACCATAATATTATTATTATTGATATTACGTATTTGTAAATAAAACAAATATTTACTTTTAACTTTTTTCAAGTAACATTTTTTTTATCGTCTGGCTTTCACTTTTTTATTGAAACATTTTGTTTTTTGAGTGATTTTTGCATTAAAAATTACTATTCATACTGTTTACTTATGAAGTCTATTATACCTACAAAAAATAAGTAGGTAGGTACCTCATATATATTATAAATAAGTAGGTACCTCATATATATTATAAATAAGTTTCCATATATAAGTCAATGCCCAACAGTCCCCTTTTTATAGTAACTTATACGAAGACAGCAAGTAATATGAAAAAATATTAAATTGAATTACCAATATCACACATTGTACTATTTGTACTACTGTTAAATTCAACGTTCAAGTGTTATTGTCTATTGAATAACGATAACAATGGATAGGCTTATTTAAAATAATTGACATTAAACACAATATAGTAAGTGCGGTTGTCCGTTCCGTTTTTTATTATTTATTTAAAACGTGAATTTTAAATCAGTAGAAAAAGTTTTAAAGAAATCATCGAAGTAAGAAAAAAAGTAACTCAACGGATGAAACTTGAAACAGTATTATGACGGAAAATAAAAATACCATTCACCTTTCAAGTCAGATAGGGATTGAGCAGGTTGTTTTAAGGAATTATTTAAAGTTATAACGAATGTATAGGCACTCAATTATTTACGTGTTTTCTTGTCTCGATTGGAATAATATATTTAGATTTCCAATGATATATATATTATTTTTAAATTAACGTAATGGAATAATTTATAATATACATCAAAAGTAAAATAAAATACAGGGTGCGGCAGAGCCAACTGGTGAGCTTTGAAGGGCTGTTATACGAGAGCATGACGAAACCTCTATGTACACCTGTCCAGACAAAGATTACGACTAAAAACGGCATAATTATGTGATTCGAAATAGGCCACGAACAACGGGCTCATCTTATCTCAGACTAATGACACCATTAAACTCGTAAGTTGGCTTGGCCACACCCTGAAATCGCACCTGTGATATCGTCTTTAACAATGTATTGATGCTGACGGCCGCCATCTTGAAGATATAATTTTAAAAACGAGATTTTCTTTTAATTTAATACAATGAAATGTTTTTCTCTAAGTTATACTATTTGTTATTTATAGCCCTTTAAAACTCGTTAGTTGGCTCTTCCACCCTCTGTATTATGATTTGTAATTATCTTTAAATCATAGCAAAATTTTAGAGCGTACCTATTTTAGTTTAAATAATATGTTTTAGTCGTTGTATAAAACAAAACATCATATTATGGACCAAATGCCGAACAAAAGAATTTAATTATCAATTTTTTTTAAATCAATTAATTAATTTAACAACATTTTTAATTTAAGTGTTAATTGTCCATGGTCTCTTGTTTGTAGTATTGTTTACTTTAATTGACCTAGTTTTATTAAAATAAATTGAAAATAAAATGTAAGTTAGGACCTCAGCTGCCAAGGTTTTAAATTATCAACAGTAAAAATTTAAGAAAAAATCAACAATGATAATTAATAGCATTTTATTTTTCAATAATGAACATTTATTTGATTTTGATTTTTTTTTCAATATCAACCATAATAGTTAAAGGACTTGTTACATGTAGGTAATTTAAATTTTTCTGTATAATATTCTTTACAATGTATTTATAGACGGGTTTTTCTTTAAATATAAATAAAACAATTTTAAATAAATAAATAAAAAGTAATAATTATTTGATTTTCCAACTATGATTATTAGTTTTTTTTTATGTTTCGACTATTGTACAACTTATGTATAATTTTCGACTAATCCAGGCTAGATAATCAATGTTATAGTTTTTATAGATTTTAAAAGGTTCATAGATAATAAACTAAGGCAAATTGACAATATACCGATAACGAATGTGTGGTGATAATATTCAACTTATCATTTCGTTTGGAACGGAGGTAAGAGGCGTCAAAGAGGGTCTAAATTGTTTACTATGATTAACAAATTCAAACATACCTAATAGTTATGATTATCTAACGTTAATTACTTTTAAATATGAGATAGTTTATGGGAATCTATACCTACAAATTGTTTGTTTATCGTATGAAGTGTGATTGTAGGTAGGGCTTGAAACCGTAAATATTTTTTCCTATTTCGATTTTGGTTTTGGATATCGGTATTTATTTTTTCTGATTTCGTTTTTGGTTTTGAGTACCGGTTTTTACATTTTTCGATTTTGATCTCGATTTTGATTACCGGTATTGATTTTTTTCGATTTTGGTATCGATTTCGGTTTTCAACGGTTTTAACCGGTATTCAAAGTCGGTATCAAATATCGGTTTCAAGCCCTGATTGTAGGGGAAGGGGACACCCGTTTTGTAGAATCGCTGTTTGGTTTGATACTGGTTGACACTCGACACGTTTTGCGCATCGTAATATAATAGGCCGTGGACTCAATATAATAAAGTTACGAGTAACCAACTCATATCTATATATTTATGATTATGTTTGACTGTAAGTTTTAAAGGCTTTGGTGCATTGCGGGAAAGTTTGTGGTGTGACGGTTTAGTTTTAACAATGGTGCGCATGTCCAGATATGTTTTCAATTTTAAAATATATTTTAAGTTTGATGCCAACCGAATAAACGCGACATAGTAGATACTTTTGATTTGTGATTTGATGAACAATATGTATTATATTTTTTTCTATTACTATTAGTTCAAATGACTAACTTTCGTTATCATATAGCCGAATAAATTAAATGACAAGATTGTAATACTTCTAAGAAAAAAGCAAAGTACCAAAACACTATCGCTGAACGGGTTACAAATGTAGATGATTAATGACCTCAGATTATTTTTAATTCGACGTAATATAAACCTAAGGTCATTCGTAAAGCTTACCCTCAGTTTTTTTTTAATGATGAATTTATCTGATCTTACGAATTTTTAAAATTATACACAAAGTTTGTCATTTAAAACTTAGATTTTTATACCATTTAAAGTGTTTCTTGTGTCGATATGAACTACTTTTTTTAAATAAGAATCACTCTTTTTTTCTTTCAAGTTGTTAATTATATCATGATAAAATAACATGGTATGATAACAATTTAATGATTCGGGTACCTATATTCTTTACCTCTCTGAACTGTATACAATGATGTCCTCAGGATCCGACGATATTTCATTGCCATGGTACCATTTTATTGTATCATGAACTTGATTACTCTTTTTGGAAATTTTTATATATATAAATCAAAATTCAAATTTTTTTTTAAATTTCATATTATTATAAGAATAGATGCCCCAATATAACGAGTTTAGAAGATAGAGGGCAAGGATGATGATATGGTCATTTATTAATTCATCATACGAATCTATCAACATTCTATACATTTAAAAAACTGTCCTAGTGTAATAAATATGAAATCAATTTTGAATTTTTCCAAGACAATTTTTTAAAGTGAATACTTCATAGGCAATAGCGAACCTCCTTACTCTGTGTCAAATCCTCGGGTTATACCCCTTTAAATACCCTTGTCTATTTTTGGTCTATACCGTAGTTCGTGCAGGTTCAACAACTTAGGTCGTCGACTGCAGCTATGCTGCCGGGTGCACACTCGGCAGTGTTGCCAAAGATACGATATTTGGTGGGGGTTAGGCTAATTTGATACTCCGGTCAGAGTACGGACAACCAATAATAGAACAACATTTTTTTAACGTATATTCTGCATCTCTATTTGGTAGAACAAATATTATAATATTTATATAATAATATAGAGGAAATTCTATATCGGAAAACGTTTTGCAGTACGAACGCTAACATATGGAACGTTGAAAAGGTTGAAATTCGTAAGCG